GGAAAGCAGCATTCGTAGTAACAGTAAAGCTAAGCTGAAGCTAAGCTAAAGCTAAGCTAAGGCTAAGCTAAGGCTAAGCTAACACTAAGTTAAAGCCAAGCTGAAGCTAAGCTAAAGCTAAAGCTAAATATAAGCTAAAGCTAAGCTAAAGCTAAGCTACAACTAAGCTACAGCTAAGCTAAAGCTAAGCTGACGCTAAGCGAACGCTAAGCTAAAGCTAAGCTAAGGCTAAGCTAAAGCTAAACTGAAGCTAAGCTAAAGCTAAGATAAAGCTAAAGCTAAAGCTAAGCTAAAGCTAAGCTAAAGCTAAGCTAACACTAAGCTAACACTAAGCTAACACTAAATATAAAGCTAGGCTGAAGCTAAACTGAAGCTAAGCTAAAGCTAAGCTGAAGCTAAGCTAAAGCTAAGCTAAAGCTAAGCTAACACTAAGCTAAATCTAAGCTAACACTCAGCTAATCGATCAGCTGAAGCTAAGCTGAAGCTAAGCGAAAGCTAAGCTAACGCTAAGCTAACACTAAGCTGAAGCTACGCTAAAGCTAAGCTAACACTAAGCTAACACTAAGCTAACGCTAAGCTGAAGCTAAGCTAAAGCTAAGCTGAAGCTAAGCTAACGCTAAGCTAAATATAAGCTAAAGTTAAGCTGAAGCTAAGCTAAAACTAATCGACAGCTAAGCTGAAGCTAAGCTGAAGCTAAGCTAAGGCTAAGCCAAATTTAAGCTAAAGTTCAGCTAAAGCTAAGCTAAAGCTAAGCTGAAGCTAAGCTGAAGCTAAGCTAAAGTTAAGCTAAGACTAAGCTAAATCTAAAGCTAAAGCTAAGCTAAAGCTAAGCTAACACTAAGCTAAAGCTAAGCTAACACTAAGCTGAAGCTAAGCTAACGCTAAGCTAAAGCGAAGCTAAAGCGAAGCTAACACTAAGCTGAAGCTAAGCTAAAGCTAAGCTAAAGCGAAGCTAACACTAAGCTGAAGCTAAGCTAAAGCTAAGCTAAAGCTAAGCCAAGGCTAAGCTAAGGCTAAACTAACACTAAGTCAAAGCTAAAACTAAAGCTAAGCTAAAGCTAAAGCTAAGGCTAAAGCTCCCAGGGGACTGGGGGAACCGCGGGGCGGGGACTGGGGGAACCGCCCAGGGCGATTAGCATCACCCGGCCCTCTTAGCTAACAGAGTAAGAACCCTTCTAGGCAGAGCCTAGGTAGGGAAAAACACAGACACAATAAATCGTCGATTCCCCAGAAAATATTGGAAAATATGGGGAGTGGGGGGAAGACAGAAACCCAGAAACTAGTGGAAAATCTGAGGAATATTGTTAGTTTGTGTGTATTTATTTGTGTGTCCTGGGCCCTTCATATAATCGGGTCGGGCGAAAAGGGGGGGTTTGGGAAAGGGGGGGTTACGAAATCTGCTGCGTGCAGCTGGTTTCGGCCCGCCGCCGGGCCCATTCCTCGATACACGGGCGCCTGCAGGCGCCGGGAGGCGCCGGGAAAATCAGCTACGTGAGCTGATTCTCAAACCCCCCCTTTGCTATCCCCCCCTTTCGCCCGGCCCGGTATAAGCTTAAGTCGGGCCTGTCCCCCCCACAGGGGGATTTCCGAGAAGAAAAATTAAATACCCCAAGCATACCCCCAAAAGGTAAAAACAAATTCAAAAAATAGTTCCCAGACTATGTTGGGACTATTTTTGACTATGTTCAGGCTATTTTTTATTTCTCGTCGAAGATCCCCCTGTAGGGGGACAGGCCCGATTTAACTATAAGCCCACCAAAGATTGGTCGACGAACCTTTTGGGGTCTGCACGACATGTTCTTAGAACGTGTCTGGCTGAAACTGCACTGTTTGACCACATCGGGCTTATGTGGCTTATGATCTATGGCATTTTTGGGGTTCCAAGAACATATCGCGGTAGGCCTATACATCCCCGAGGGCCCGGGAGCGTTCTGACTTGTGGGAGCTCATCGCGAGCGTTCTGGCTTGTGGGAGCTCATCGCGACCCATTGCCGCTGTGGGCTCTTGGCGGTGTGGTGGATCGGGAGCCACCTCGACGAGGATGGAGCGGCCGCGCGCAGGGTGTCCGCCGAGGACCGGCTGGGCGATGCCGCCGCGCACCAGTTGGTTGGGGCGGCCGCCACAGCGCGGCTGCCGCCGCCAGACCTCCAGCAGGCCCGTGGGGTCACACTGCACGCCCTCTGGAAGCCGCACGTGATGCTGGCCGAGGTCGAGCTGGCGGCGCCCAGCGCCAACCACGGCATCACCGCGCCGGCGCTGCCGCGCGTGCGGCGCCGCTGGGCCGCGCTTCGGCCGCGGTGCCGGCAGCCCCGCGTGCGCGGCGGAGCAGAGCCGGTTGCTGGCGCCTGGTGATCGCACGTCGCCTCGCAGGTCACAGGGCGGATGCGGCTTGGAGCTTCTGGCGAACTTTTCCTGCGTGGGGTGGGCGTCGGCGCCGCCGCCGAGGATGGCGCGTCTGCTCCTGCTCCCAGCAGCGCGCGCGTGTGCGGCGCGGACGGGGTCTTGGCGGGCCGCCCTCGGGGGGCTCGTTGGGAGGCTCGCCCGGGGGCGCCAGATTGATTCGGTGCACGTGGCTGTGCTGCGAGCCGCGTGTCCCGACGTTGCCCCCCTGCCCCTCCCGCCAGCTGCTTCTTGTTTCCCAGGTACTGGGCGTCGTTGGATGTATCTGTTGGACTTTAGTATGTGTACGTACGAGCACACAAACACACAGACATGCATACATACACACAAAAACACAGACAGACAGACAGACAGGCAGGCAGGCAGACAGACAGACAGACACACCGACAGACGGACATATAGACAGACATATAGACATATAGACAGACAGACAGACAGACAGACAGACAGACAGACAGACAGACAGACAGACAGACAGACAGACAGACAGACAGACAGACAGACACACACACACACCGACAGACAGACAGACAGACAGACAGACAGACAGACACCTGTAGGGAGGGAGGCGCCGAACCGCGCAGCTCGATCATCTCCTCGCTGAGGCCGCGAACCGCGCAGCCCGATCATCTCCTCGCTCTTGCGGGCGACCTGACCTCTGGCCCCTGTCGCCCCGTCCTTTCACCTCCAGCACCCTACTGGCCTTGTCGGCATCCTCGCTTTCCACCGCCTCCTCCCCCTCCTCTTTGGCGTTGATCGGCCGTCCTACTAGAACACGCATCCTCCTCCTCCTCCTCCTTTAACTCCTCCTCCTCCTCCTCCTCCTCCTCCTCCTCCTCCCTCGCCTTCGCCGCCTCCTCCTCATCCTCCTCCTCATCCTCCTCCTCTCCCCTCCCCTCCTCCACCTCCTCCTCCTCCTCCTCATCCTCTTCCTCCCCCTCCCCCTGTCGCTGCTGTTCGCACGCCTCCTCCATCGCCACATTCGCCGTGGCTGCCGCCGCCCATTTCGCGCCAGAAGAGGACGGGGAGGGGAGGGGGAGGAGGGGGCGAATGGCCGGATAGTTCCGCAGGGGCGAATTCGACGAGGAAAAAACGCCATGAACTTCAATTTTGAGCGCTCCGCGCGGATCTCTTGGATCCGCGCGTGGCCCCCCGGCGGCGCCTCCGGCGCTCGCCAGGGAGGGGTCCAGTTCACACCAGTTCAAATGTTTATAGCGTGTTCTCAGTCTTTACGAATGGATCTTGCGAGCTCCGCCCCTCTTACGAGTGGTCCGTCGGATGACTGAATTGGTTTGGAGTATGCAGGGGTCTCTGGATTGATTGGAGGCGTCCGGGGACCCCGAGAGGCCTCGGGGCGTCCTCGAGGCCACTGGAGGGTTCCTGGGGCCTCCAGGGACTTTTGCAGATGTGCGGCAAAGCAAGGGGTGTTCATCGCCAGCATCTAGATAACCAGCAACAGTATCAAGTTTTCACTGCAGCTTCAAACCAACATTGTCCCATCGGGGATGGTTGGATTCGCCGCTTCGCTACGGCTTCGCTGGCCAACGCGTTCCGATAGGGGCGGTTACGATCTCCGTCTCTATGGCTTTATTGAGGTTCCAGGACGAAGCGGCAGCATTCGGAGCACACACGCGACAGAGGAGACAGCGAGAGAAGAGGGTGCCCACAGTACACAACACACAGGGCTTCCCTCCCTGTCTCCCATGATGCCAACCCGATCCGATGTGTCGATTCTCTCTGACGGCGCGTTTCGGATCTTGGGCCCTTCCTTGGCATCGCTCGGACGTGTGCATTTTTCCTTCGGCGAGGACAGTCGAGGAGCATCCTTGATCATTTGGCGAAAAAAACAAACACGCACAAAACAGAAAAAAACACAAGGAATGGACGTCCGAGCGATGGCCAGCATGATGCCAACCCGATCCGATGTGTCTTTTCTCTCTGACGGCGGCGCGTTTCGGATCTTGGGCCCTTCGCGTGGACCCTCCTCTCTTGCCCCTTCCTGTCTCCCTATTCCCGCGGGAGTTGGGAACACAGGCAGAGCACCAGTGGCTCCTCCTCCTCCTCCTCCACCTCCTCCCCCTCCTCCTCCTCCTCCTCCTCTTCCTCCTCCTCCCCCTCCTCCTCCTCCTCCTCCTCCTCCGCCTCCTCCTCCTCCTCCTCCTCCTCCTCCTCCTCTCGGGCCAGGGTCTCTTCTTCTGCGACGGGGTGCGTAGTCGACTGGCGAATCCCAGAGATCCCCTGGAGGCCTCGTGAATCCAGGCCGATTCTGGAGGAAGGTAGAGTCAGGTCGGGCATGTCCTCCTACAGGCGGATCTGGGACGAAAAATAAGACATAACCCAGAACATATTCAAACATAAGCAATCATGAGCGCACATTGTCCCCAGACTATCTTTTATCGTATTTTTGAATATCCCCCCTGCAGAGGGACGTGCCCGACTGAAAGGTCCAGGGAGCGGAGTCAGGGGCAACGATAGGGCGCAGCGGGCTCAGAGGGGAACGCGTCCGACGCTTCCCCCCCGAGTCGGCCCCCCTCCCGTGTCGTTGCCCCTCGCGGAGGCGCTGAGAGCAAGTCATCGAGTGTCGTTGTCGTCGCCTGCAGGAGATGGCTTCCATGACCACCCAAGAGAAGGACGACCAGGACACCGCCGGCCGGATTGTTGGCACCGCGCGCGCGCTGGATGGCCGCTCGACAGCTCCGTCTGCCAGTCACCCCCGTCGTGCTCGCTTTCCGATCTCGGACGTGGCCAGTTCGAGGAGGAATCCGTTCCAGACCGCTGCTGGACGCTCTCAGAGCGCTCCAGAACGCTTCGAGAAGGCCGCTGCGCCCGAGACACCCTCCCGAGCCGCCGGATCTCAGAGATCTCCGATGGATCTTCACCCGAAATGATCTTCGTCCTGGCTTCGTCTCACGATCCCTTCCCCTCGTTCGTGGGAGCCAGGGCCCACAGGAGCCAGTGGTCGCGGGCGACTGTTCTCCCGCAACCCCCCGACTGTTCGACTGAAAAGGAAGCCGCTCGGGGAAGGAGGGGAACCCTGGGGTGCACCCCAAGCGGGCCCTTCGGACGCATCGCTATCGAGGATGGACGCCCCCCCATCGTATATCTCGGGCCGGACGAAAGGGGGGGATTGGGAAAGGGGGGGGTACGAAATTTGCTGCATGCAGCCGGTTTCGGCCCCACCGAGGGGCCCATTCCTCGATACATAGCCGCCTCCGGCGCCGGGAGGCGCCGGGAAAATCAGCTACGTGAGCTGATTCTCAAGCCCCCCCTTTGCTATCCCCCCCTTTCGCCCGACCCGAACATCCCAGGGTTGGGCCCCACATTTCTGGTCCATCCGAGAGCCCCACAAGGCCTGGGATAGTCCGACGAAGGCCTCTATACGCCACCACCGTGCCCGGCCAGGGCCGTCCTGGCCTGGTACGGTGGTGGTGTATACACGGCCAGGATGGCGTATCGACCCTCCTGGCCTCGGCCAGGAGGGCGTATGCACCATGCCAGGCCCATGATGGCCCTGGCTTGGCACGAAGGTGGTGTGTAGATGCCCTCTGCGAAGATAGGGATGATGGCCCTTTTTTTCCACCACCACCACCACCATAAGTTCGAGGGGGAGGGTGTCCTCCTCCTCCTCCTCCCCCTCCCCACCTCCTCCCCCTCCTCCCTCCTCCTCCCCCTCCCCTCCGCTCCTCCTCCTCCTCCTCCTCCTCCTCCTCCTCCTCCTCCTCCTCCCCCTCCTCCCTCCTCTCCTCTCCTCCTCCTCCTCCTCCTCCCCCTCCTCCTCCTCCTCCTCCTCCTCCTCTCCTCCTCCTCCCTCCTCCCCTCCTCCCCCCTTCTCCCTCCTCCTCCTCCCTCCTCCTCTCCCACCTCCTCCTCCTCCTCCTCCTCCTCCACCTCCTCCTCCTCCTCCTCCCTCCTCCTCCTCCCTCCCCTCCTCCTCCTCCTCCTCCTCCTCCTCCTCCTCCTCCTCCTCCTCCTCTTTGTCCTCCCCCTCCTCCTCTTCCTCCACCTTATAGAGGCTCCAGAGAGCGGAGGTCGCCCGCCGGCCGCGGGTGTCGCCGCGGGTTTCCCCGCCCCTCGCCTGGGAGCTTTCAGCGGCCGCGATTGGGGGGGAGGATTAGGCTGAAGTCGGGCCTGGCCCTCTACATGAGGAGTATCCAAAAATAGTTTAGATAATAGTCTGGGGACGATTTGTCCTAGCATGTTGGATCATCTGTAAATAAGTTTTGACTATGTTTTAACTTCGCCCGAAATCCGCCTGTAGGGGGACGTGCCCGACCTAGGCATATGGGGGGGAGCATCCATCCCCAATCGTCCATTGATCGCCGATTGGGCACCACCCCGCCCAGGAAGGCGCGGATCCGCCATCGGGAGCCCATCGCCGGTCAGTCGGCGATGCATCGCCGATTCCAGGTCGATGTATCTCCCCCCCTATGCCCAGTCCCCCTCCGCCGTTGCACCTCAAGCTCGTGCTCGCGGGGCCCCGCCTCCCCCGCGCGGGCTGCACTGGCCTCGCCTGGACGCGTGTCCCCCCTCCTCCTGCTCCGCGAGGCCCGTCGAGGAGCATCCTGGACCGGAGCGCACGCACGGAGGCGACACATGCACGGGGAACGGACGCCCGAGCGAGGGCGCGCCGTCGGAGGAGGCTCGGGGGACCCGTGCCGCTGCCCGTCCCTCGCTCTCCCCCTCGTGGGGGGGCCTCTCGGGAGGACCGCGTCGCCGCCGCTGCCTTCGCTTTGAGGTCCTTGTCAGAGCGCACCCCGCGCGAGGTCCGGCGAGTCGCGGTGTCGGTACCTCTTCTTTTCCCCAGGCTTCGCATCGTTCGGACGTGTTGTGTGTTTATTCCTTGTCAGAGCGCACCCCACGAGAGGTCTGGCGAGTCGCGGTATCGGTACCTCTTCGTTTCCCCAGGCTTCGCATCGTTCGGGCGTGTTGTTGTTTTTCTCCCAGCGGCGAGGACCATCGAGGGGCGTGTTGTGCCATCTTGCGAGCCAGTAGGCGCACGAGGCCACACCAGGCACGGGGGATGGAGGCCCGAGCGGTGGCCAGTTGTGGCACACGGACAATGTCTCAACCGTTGTGTTTGTTACATGCGGATGGCGTCCCTTGTCCTGTGTAAGTTCTTCGGCACCGCCTGTTTTCTGAGCCCTCCGGCCGCCTGAGGCCCCGCCCGCCCGCGCCTTGTCTCCCCAATTAGGGTTACCCGCGTCCCGTTTAGCTCTTGACCGGAAGGGGCCCGCTCCCGACCCGCAGACCAAAAAAGTTTGTTATATGCGTTCCCCGCCAAAATATGAAAGCTCCTGATTGGTCCAGAGTTGTGGTCCATCTGCAGCGCTGCAGCATTCCAAGATCGGCGCTCCGTTTCCGACGCTCGGGATGGCGCTCTCGCCCCGGCGAGGGTCACACCTCTTGACCGGAGACCGTCCTCGTCGGGGTCGCCCCCCGGTTCCGTCCGCCCTATCCTGGTCATCCAGCCGCCCCCCCCCCGCTCCTCCTGTTCATGCTGTTGCGGTTGCGGCTACGTGGTCTTCGTTTTGCTCATCTTGTTCATCCGCCCCTTTCGCCTCCTCCACCCCTAGTGCATGGGCATAGTGCCATGGGGTCATGTTTGGAGTTCCAGATCCGCCATGACACCCGTCTGCGGATACAGAGAAGTCAGCGAAATGGGAGGGGATGGGTAGCAGGGAAGGGATGTGCACTATACAGTCGAGTTTGATTAGTAAGTCGATCTTTGTAGATCAAGAGTGCCCTTGTGTCCCGTGTTTCGCGCCCCATGTCCTCCGCGTTCTTAGGGCAATGTGGCCCTCGGAAGGGTTTTGTGACCTCTCGTGTCCTCTACAATCGGATTCGACTGTACGACGCGAGCGCACCTAGCTTGTTCTCCGCCCTTGTCATCTCCGCCTGGTCTGCTCCTTCTGTCTCGTTGGCCTCCTCTCCGCCCCAGCCCCGAGCCGCGGTCCGCCGCCAGGCCGAGTACGAGGCTTTCATGGCCGAGGCCGGTGACAAGCGCGCCGCGGACTCCAAGTCCACGTCGCAGAAGGCTCCCAGCCAGAGGAGGTGGGCGCCAGGTAGAGGGCGAGGAGTGAGGAAAGATGGGGTGAGGGGGGAGGATCGGATCGACTCCGCATGGAGGAAGCGTCATGCTCCGCAGCGCCGTGCCTTTGGGGTCGCAAGTGTGGAGCTCTGAGCTCGAAAACAGTCTTGGCAGTGTGTATATCTCGCCCTTCACGGCGGCCAACACAAAAACATCGCGGCCCCCACCGTCTTCCTGGCAGGGGGCTCAATGCGCGAGCCCCCCGAGGGGAGCGGGGAGACAGAATGGAGGGAGGAAGAGGGGTGGCGAGGGCGCGGGGGGGGGAAGGGGCGGAAAGGGGAGCGGCTGGGGCAGCGACGAGGGGCGAGGCGGGGGGCGAGTGCGGAGCGTGGCGGAGCGGAGGGGGGAGGGGAGGTTGTCGGGGAGAGACGGGCGTGAGCACGAGGCGCCGCGGAGCGGAGGGAGGACGGGACTTCTCTCCAATGGGGGGTGGGTTCGGGGCGCGCGTCGAGGCTTCCCACCCAGGGCTTGTACCCAGGGGAGGTCCTCCTCGGCCCAGCCAGAGGGGGGGAGGGAGGAGGGCGCGGCGAAGAGGGAGGAGGGGTAGGAGGACGGAAGAGAGGACGACAGACGAGGAGGAGGAGGAGGAGACATGAGGAGGGGGCGGGAGGAGGAGGCGGGGCAGAGAATGCGGAAGGAGAAGGGGGGGGGAGGAGGAGGAGGGGAGGGAGGAGGGAGAATGTAGTGGCTGGTGGATTGGTGGGGGAGGAGGATGAGGAGGAGGAGGAGGAGGGGGAGGAGGATAAGGATGAGGAGGAGGAGGAGGAGGAGGAGGAGGAGGAGGAGGGGAAGAGGAGGGGAAGCGATGATGATGATGATGATGATGATGATGATTGATGATGATGATGATGATGATGATGATGATGATGATGATGATGATGATGATGATGATGATGATGAGATGATGATGATGATGATGATGATGATGATGATGATGATGATGATGATGATGATGATGATGATGATGATGATGATGATGAGGAGGAGGAGGAGGAGGAGGAGGAGGAGGAGGAGGAGGAGGAGGAGGAGGAGGAGGAGGGGAGTAGGAGGAGGAGGAGAAGGAGGAGGAGGAGAAGGAGGGAGACACTAGCCGCGGTGTCCTTGGCACAAGGCGCGCTTGTTCGGAGGGAGATTGTGGCACGCGGGAGGCGCGGAGCCTCGCGCCCAGGGCGTCGCATAACGAGGGGGCGGCGAATGGGGAGGGCGGCGAGGGCTGCAGACATGGTGCGCTTTCGGGACCCTACAGAAGAAGAAGCCCTTCGGCCCTTCGGGGCCCCCAAGGGGGCCTCTGGGGCCCGAGAAGGGCACCTTTCTCCTCCGCCCACTTCTCGCCCCCCCCCCCCCTCAAGCGGCGCCCGAGCCCAGCCCGCCCTCGCAGGAGGGCGAGAAGGCAGACTTGGAGGCCGCGCTGGTGAAGCTGCAGCAGGACCGGCAGCTCCCGCCTCCTGCCTCGGGCTTCTCGGGTGCAAGATTGGAGTCAATGTACGCGGGGGTCAGCCAGGGCGCCGGATCTTGCAGGATCCTGCAGCGCTGGGGATGCAGTGGCACGGGTTTGGGCGCAGGATCTTTCAGGATCTTGCGGGATGCTGCAAAGCACGATTGGCACGGGTGTGAATGGACCCGGGTAAGTTGATCCTTGAGGGTCTGAGAGGAGGCAAAGGTACCCCTACGGCTACCCTTCCATCGTTTGGCCACGTTTTGACCTCCTGGGAGGCCCTCGCCGCCGCCGCTGGATTCGCCTGGAAATGTTGGTCAGAACGCACCCAGGGAGAGGTCTGGGGCTTAGCAGTATCGGTACCTTGTGGTCTCCCCAGGGCCGTGACGAGCGGAGGCGGCCAAGAGGGGTGATGATTGAGGTGGGGGGATCATCATTGCAGGACCATGGCATCTCCCCAGATATCATGGCCCCATCTTCTTCTTCTCACACGTCCCCTGCTTCTCCGACATATCCTGAATCTTTGTCCCCCAGAGCCCGTATCTTGCGGAACACATTTAGAAAGCATTGTCTGTCCTGTACATGGTGGCCTTCCATTGTATTCGACACGGGTTCGACGCGACGGGGATTCGACGCATATTCTACGCGAGCTGCGACGCGATCCCCCGAAAACGGAACAACCTGTCGCTCATGCAGAGAAAAATGGCACGCTCGGACGTGTGCATGGATTCTCGGCGAGGACCATTGAGGAGCATCCTCGACCATCGTGCGAAACGTGTTGGCCCAAGGCCACCTGGCTCGAGCTGCCCCGGCGCGCGCGGGGGCCGCGCTCGAGAGCCCCATGGCTCCGGCCAGGCGGCATAGCATGCCCTCACGGGCCCCCGCTTCCCAAGAGGCAGCTTGCTGGGATCGAGCCCCACGTGCGCCCCCCATCGACACCTGGGACACGAGGTCGACTCTTTCTAGTGGGACAAGAAACTGTACGTACATTGGCGAGGTTCCGAGGCTGCGCACCTGGCCTGCACGCATCCGGCACGCCCTCTCCTCGGAGCGCTCCCGGCCTGGGCCGACGAGCAGGGCCGGTGCCGCCGCTGCGGCCAGGTTCTGCCCGGCGCGATCGGCGGCCGGCCCATGCTGGCCGGCGCGGTGGACATTGGTGAGGCGATGCAAACACGCCGCGCACAGAGCCCCACGGCGCGGCAGTCTTCTGCGACTTCGCCGCGGCATTTCCGACAGTCAGTCGCGACGTCCTGGGCCACTAGTTCGCGGCCGTCGGCGCCCCGCATCGCACTGTGCGCTCCATCGCGTCCTGTACTTCCAGAACTGCTGCTTTCTCTCCGTGGGCGGAGCTCGATTCGGTGGCTTTGAGCAGTGGGCTGGAATGCGGCAGGGTTGTCTTCTATCCCTGGTCTCGTTCGCGGTGGCTGCCGATCTGCTGCCGGGCAGCTTCCGTACTTGCGCAGGCGTGAGTATGCCGACGACTTAGCCGTGGTTGTGAAAGACGCAGTGTCGGCCGCCCTCCGGCTGAGGCGCATGTTCGAGGAGTGCGAGGCCCTCTCAGGCTTGCGGCTGCACCGCGGGGCAGTGGGGAAACCGTCGCGGCCCCTCTTTGCTCCGCCGCGGCGAACGACGCGCGGCAGTCGCCGGCGCGGGTCGCGCCGGCGCTCGCGGACTTCAGCATCCACGCGAAAGCACAGAGGTTTTGTTCTTGGGCCGGAGCGCGGCACTCTCTCCTGGGGCACAGCGCTGCAGAAGTACTTTGAGCGAGCGCAAGTCTGGGGCTGGATTGGGTCCGATGCCACTGCTTACGCGCTTATCGGGTTTATGTCGCTTCGGTGTTGACCATGGGGCAGCTAAATGGCTTGCATGGCGGCTTCGAGGATGCAGAGCGCCGAGCGCGCGCCGCGCTTTTCCGCGGCCCCGGGGGCTGGCTATACCACCTTGCTTGTATGCCCTCCGACATTTTGGCAGTTCGGTGGAGCTTCGGAACATACGAGAGACCGTCCTGGCTGCAAAGTGCCGCGCGGCCAAATGGGAGGACCGCCGCAGCGGGGGTCTTCGCGTCGACCGTCGACACATTGCTCTTCAACGCGCCCGCATGGCTTGCAGCTTCCCAGATCGGGCCGCCTTCTGGAGCCGGTGGCGGGAAGCGGCCCTCGCCCTTCAGCTGGCTGCTGCCGCGAGTCTGGCGCGCACCCGCGGCTACGACCTAACCGTCGTCTTGGATCGTCTGGCTGGCGGTGCGGCTGGGACAGGCCGAGAGTCTGCGGCGCGGCAACGTTGGCAGAAGGAGTGCCTAGAAGTGCCTGAAGATTTTCGGGCCCCCGGCCAATGACGGGGTCTTCCTGGGCGGCAGTTGGACCGCTTCGAGTTGGCCACCCCCCCTGGGCATCGTGTGAGTCGGACCGTCAATTCATTTCAGCACCTTGGCGCGGCTGTGCCGCCGCGTGTCTGGCATGCGTCCCTTCGCTCGCTGTTGGACGGCTGGACTACCGCAGATCGCATGGGCCGCGATGCTACGTGCATGTTCGGCTGCGCCGCTCACGATATCATGCGCCGTTTTTTGTTGTTCAGATTTTCGGCAGCTCTGCGCTGCCGTGCTCAGGCTGCCTGCTCCGCCGCCTGGACCACAGGGCGATCATTTGTTTGGGATCCAGCCTTCAGTTTTCGAGGCCTCCAGCGACATCGTCCTGCGTCGCGCGCTTGCAACTTACGCCCTGTATTCGGCGCGCTGCCATTCCTGGCGCTGGGGCTTACACATACCGGCGCTGCCCGAGGCGATGCGGCAGTTCATTCGCGAGGCTTGTTTCGGTTTCCGACGGCTCGCCCGCGCTTGGTGTAGAAGGCATGCGTAACGCCGATGCTTGTGGAGACTACAACCGGCATTTTGGGTTCAGAATTGCTGGGGGGGCCTCTGTGGCTGAGGCATCCGAACCCACTCGGGTCAAGTTGTTGGTTTTGTGGTGTTTGTGACAGCAAACACTGATTCTGCGACGCGCAGCGTCCGTGAAGCAGGGTACGCGTACAGTTTTGCTGTCCCCCGGTAGTCAGACCCGCCGGTAATCGCGGGCCGTCCCTTCCCTCCTTCCTGCCCGTGGCGTTGTCCCCCAGTTTGTTTGTCACCCCGTCTCCTGGCAGGGCCCGGCGTCCGGCAGGCAACCACAAGGGTTGCTTCTGGGATTCTCCTCTTGTCCCTCTTTTCTCCTCCGCCTCCTCTTTACCCTCCGCCTCCCTCCCGCCTTCCAGTGGCACACGTGCTCACGATGAGCTCTCGACACGCCAAGAACTTGGGGCGGTCTCTCATCATTGCCTCTTCTATTGCCGCCTCTTGGATGGCTAGTTTTTCTCAGCCCGCTGCTCACCGCATAGACTTGCCAGTTCGCGGGGCGTGCAATCCATGCTTGGGTCTGGGGCTCCTTGGTTTTTCATTGACGTGTTCGTTGCCCGATTCGGGGGATTCTTGGTCCTGCCCCTTTTCCCTCCTTCCTTCCTGTCCTTCCCTCCCCTTCCCCATAATTATGGGTTTACGGCAGTGGCAGTTTGGGCCATGCGGTAGGGGTTATTACACAATGTTAGCAATTGTGGCCCGATACGCTTTGAGGGCAAATTCGTATCAGTCGCCTTCGGTTTCCTGCTTCGCGCGTGTCCCGTGCCCGGGGCTATTTCCAGCGTTTGCCTCTGCTGCACTCCCGTCGGAGTCGCTGCGTTGGAATAGCCCTCTTGAGGGACAGCGGGATCCTCCTGCTTCTCCACCTGTGTGCGCTGTACGCAGCAAAAGAAGAATGCACGCACGAAACCGAAACATGCACGAGAAATGGACCCCCGAGGGATGGCACGGACGGTGCAGGGGGTAGAGACATGGCGGAGCCCGTCGACGGGGGAGTGGCGAGGGAAGGTCTGTGGGCAGGCGGGGTGCCGACAGCGCCCCCCGCCTGTTGGCAGGATCACAAGGACACGAGCAAGGAGCTGTACCTCAAGGAGGTCGAGATCAAGGAGTCCCTTCCCTCCCTCTCCGGTGGTCTTCCTCCCACTCGCCAGTCCCGCTTTGGCTCCGTCTCCTCCTCCCCATCCTCCCCCAATCCTCCTCGTTTTTTTGTTTTGCCTTCAGTCCAATCTCCTCCACCTCATCCTCCTCCAATCCTCCTCTTCATCCTCCTCTTCAACCTCCTCCTCCTCCTCCTCCTCTTCATCCTCCTCCTTATCCTCGTCCTCCTCCTCCTCCTCGTCGTCCTCCTCCAGTTCCCCCAATCCTCATGCTCATTGTTTTTTGCCTTCAGCCCCCCCCCCCCCTTTCGTCGCCACGGCCGAGCGCGGATCTGAAAACCAGCCCGCCGTCTCGCCCCCTGCCCACGTAAACGAGAGGGAAGTGCCGCAATGTCAGCGCCGAAACGGTCAGTCTGGCTGAGGCGGCGCGCGAGATCCCCATCGTGTGTTTTGTGTGTGTGTGTGTGTGTGTGTGTGTGTCTGTGTGTGTGTGTGTCTGAGGGCGTTCGCATGGAGAGCCCGTGAGGTGTTGGGCCGCATGTGCTCAGACCCTGCGCGTGAACATGTTCCGCATTGCCCAGACAGGGTCGGTGACGAATATCTCTGGCGAGGACTCGCTGGTGGATGCGCGAAATCTGGTGCAAGCGCACATGCTTTGTGAATACCAGCCGGTCGAGCCGTTGCGAAGACGGCTCATTCGAACATCTCGGCAGTCGTTCTGCAGTAAATGCAGCCGTCTTGGTGCTCATTCGTGATAGTGGTGGAGAAGAGATGGCACAACAAGCCATCGCTATATCCATCATATCCATCATCAGCATCACGATTGGTATCTTACGGTAAACGTTGCAACTATAGCAAGTGATGCGGCCCCCCCAGCCCGCATATCACACGTTGTCCCCGTTCTTGGGGGCAGCGGGCATCAGGAGGGAAAAAAACACACAGACACAATGAATCGTCGATTCCCCAGAAACTATGGGAAAATATGGGAAGTGGGGGGGAAGACAAAAACCTAGAAAATATAGGAAAATATGGGGAATCCTTTTATTTGCGTGTGTTTATTTGTGTGTCCTGGGGCCCCTTCAGGGCACCTAAGAAGCCCTGGCAGGGCGATGGCGTGCACGACAGGATCCCTCGCAAGGGGGGGGCTGCTGGCGTGCACGGAGGAAGCTCTGTCAGGAGGGCCAGCGCGTTTCTTGGAGATCGTCGGAGGCCTGGAAATTGGCACCAACACCAAGACAGAGGGTTGCCTCCACAGGGGGAAGATGGTCCTAGATTTTCGGTGTTGGTGGTAATAGTTCGGCCACCTTGGAAGCCAGAATATTACCACCATCACCGAGATCGGGATCTTCTTCCCTCGGTGGAGGAACACCGCCGAAATTGGTGTTGGTGTCAATCTCTAGGCCTGCGAGATCGGTGTTGCAGGCTATCTCTGCGACGCAATTCAATCGGGGTGTGAGCTAAACCGTGCTTTGGCGATGTCGTGGCTCGTTTTCGTTCTGCCCTCACGTCGCGGCAAAGAAGTGCAGGACGGAGACGGAACCCGAGGGACAGCGACGACAGAACGAACACGAAAGACGCGAGGGACAGCGAAGACAAAACGAACGAGGGACAGGAACGAAGGCAAGACGGAGACAAGACGAAGACGGAACGAGGGACAGCGAAGACAAAACAAACACGAAAAACTCGATTCGGCTCTCCAGCCCTGGCAGGATCCTCTTCCCGACCTGGCAATTCCTCTTGCGGGGAGGCGGCAGGGCTGGGCACGCATGCACCCCCCCCCTGCCCGTTGCCGCTTTCCGCCCGTGCAGGGCCGGACGTGGCCACCAACCGTGTCTTCGACTGCAACCCCCCTGGGGGGTCAACTTCTGACGTTGCCCTGGTCCGACGTCCGGCTTGATCTGGGGCAGTCTCGCTTCCTCCGTGCTCAGGCCCGCTTGATGCACCTCAAGCCCGCTTGGTTCCGCTTCAGCCGCGGCCCCCTCCGGCGTAGCAGCCCCCCAAAGGGGCTTAACCCTCCCCAAGCCCTAGTCATAAGTAGGGCGTGCCCCTCCACAGGAGGAATATTCAAAAATAGTAAAACAATAGTCTGGAGACGATTTTTTGAATATGTTTTGACAATTTTCTAGTATTCTTCGGGTATGTTTCTTTTTTCGCCCAAAATCCACATGTAGGGGGACACGCCCGACCCAACCCGAGTCCTTCCGAAGAAGACCTCCCAGCAGTTGCCTCCCAAGGGCCACCAGCCGTGCTGCCATGATGGGTGATCATCCCTCTGGCATGGGCCTCCTCCTGCTCGGGGGCGGCAAAGAGGGGGGTGATGGCTAGGGGGGGGGGATATCATGGCAAAGAGTGGGGTGATGACTAGGGGGGGGCGGCAAAGGGGGGGGTGATGACTAGGGGGGGTGGGGGATTTCATGGCGCCTCTTCTTATTTCATTACTTCCCTGGCCCCCCCCGCTGGGCCGCGCACGTGCCGCCGGTCATGATCTGCACCCCCCCGTCTTGGACACCCCCCCCCTCGTGGCCGCTGCCCGACCTGCGGGGGGCGGCAGGGCTGGGCACACGCAGGCTCCCCCCCACCCCCACCCCGTGCTCCCCCGCCCGCTCCCCCCCCTTCAAGCAGCGGCGAAGCGCCCTGGCTCGCCTAGAGTCAGGAGGGGAAAAAGCACACAGACACAATGAATCGTCGATCCCCCAGAAAATATGGGAAAATATGGAAAGTGGGGGGGAAGACAAGAAACCGAGAAAATATGAAAAAAATATGGGGAATCTTTTTATTTGTGTGTATTTATTTGTGTGTCCCTGGGCCCCTTCAACCCCGTGCTCCCCCGCCCGCCCCCCCCCCCCTTCAAGCAGCGGCGAGGCGTCCTGGCTCGCCTATAGCCTATAGCCCCACCAGGCAATGTTCTGTGAGCCTTTTGGGGTGTCCAGGAGATGTTCTTAGAACAGTTCTGGCGGAGTCTGTCTTGTTTAGAGACATCGGGAAGATGTTCTAAGGACATCGTTTTTGTTCTTGGAACATTTCGTGGGTTCTAAGAACACTTCGTGGCAGGGCTGTAGGCATGCCGGGACGGCCCGTCCCTGCTCGACCCCTGCTCCCGCCCGCGCGGGGCCGCCCCCTTCCCGGGGGGCCGCCGCCTCCTGCAGCGAGCGGCCCCCCCCCCTCCACCTTAGGCGATGCTTAAGAAAACTTACATTTTCGGGCAGAGTCTCGATTATTCTTAATGTTTCAATGTAAATCCTAAGATTTGCATGGGAATTGTTGGTTTTTATTCAAGTTCTGAGACTATGAATTTCTTAACCAAGGCATGAACGATTCTTGCCCCTGTGCCGGTGCCGGTGCGGGTGCCGGTGCCGGTGCCGGTGCCGGTGCCGGTGCCGGTGCCGGTGCCGGTGCCGGTGCCGGCCGGTGCCGGTGCGGTGCCGGTGCCGGTGCCGGCGGTGCCGGTGCCGGTGCCGGTGCCGGTGCCGGTGCCGGTGCCGGTGCCGGTGCCGGTGCCGGTGCCGGTGCCGGTGCTGGTGCGGTGCCGGTGCTGGTGCTGGTGCCGGTGCCGGTGCCGGTGCTGGTGGCCGGTGCCGGTGCCGGTAGCCGGTGCTGGTGCCAGTGCCAGGGCCAGTGCCGGTGCCGGTGCTGGTGCCGGTGGCCGGTGCTGGTGCGGGTTCTTGTTTTTCCAGAACATCCTCTCCTTCTCCCTCCCGCCTCCCGCCTCCCAGCAGTGCCCCTCCCGCCCCTCCAGGGAGGCCCCGCCTGAGCGAGGAGGGTAACGGAAACCCATGCTATTTACATGGTTTCGTGCCCTTCCCACCTCTCCAGGGAGGCCCCGCCTGAGCGAGGAGGGTATCCCACCCTTCCAGCAGGGAGGCCCCGCCTGACTGAGCGAGGAGGGTATCGGAAACCCATACTATTTACACGGTTTCGTGCCCCTCCCACCCCTTCAGGGAGGCCCCGTCTGAGCGAGGAGGGTATCGGAAACCCATAGTATTTACATGGTTTCGTGCCCCCCCCTCCCCTCCAGGGAGGCCCCGCCTGAGCGAGGAGGGAATCGGGAACCCGTACTATTTACATGGTTTCGTGCCTTTCCCACCTCTCCATGGAGGCCCTGCCTGAGCGAGGAGGGTATCGGAAATTAATAAAGATTACATGGTTTCGTGCTCCTCCCACCCCTCCAGGCAGGCCCCGCCTGAGCGAGGAGGGTATCGGAAACCCATACTATTTACATGGCTTCGTGCCCTTTCCACCCGCCTGAGCGAGGAGGGTATCAGAAACCCATACTATTTACATGGTTTCGCGCCCTTCCCACCTCTCCAAGGAGGCCCCGCCTGAGCGAGGAGGGCATCGGAAACCCATGCTATTTACGCGGTTTCGTGCCCCTCCCACCCCTCCAGGGAGGCCCCGCCTGAGCGAGGAGGGCATCGGAAACCCATGTTATTTACGCGGTTTCGTGCCCCTACCACCTCTCCAGGGAGGCCCCGTCTGAGCGAGGAGGGTATCGGAAACCCATACTATTTAAATGGTTTCGTGCCCCTCCCACTGACATGGGTGAGGAGGAGGGGAGAACATTACCTATCCATCTCACGTCCTACTCCTCCCACTGAGGAGGGTGAGGAGGAGGGGTAGTTCCGCGATGAGGAAGGCTTCATCATGATGATGGTGATGACGATGGTTATACTGCTGTTCACGATGACGATGACGATGGCGATAATGGTGATGGACGATGACGATGGCGATAACGGTGATTATGATGATGATGCTGATGATGATGACGATGATGATGATGACGATGACGATGATGACAACGATGGACGACGACGAGGATGATGATGCAGATGCTGGTGATGATGACGATGCTGCTGCTGATGCTGACGTTGCTGGTGCTGTTGATGATGATGACGACGATGATGCTGATGATCATGACGTCCACGATGATGCGGACGAAGATGATGCCACGGACGGTGATGGTGATGATGATGACGATGCTGATGCTGCTGATGATGATGATGATGACGATG